TCGCTCAAGCCACAACCTCTTTTTAAAGTCTATTTTTCATCATGTCTGTGATTTGTGCCGTGGGGGAGGGCAGGTGCCTGTGGAGTCCAGCGGTGTCTAATCCCCTAGGACTGGATTACAGATGATTGTGAGCCTCTATGTGGGTGCTGGTGACCAAACTTGGGGCCTCTGTGAGAGCAGCTGGTGCTCTAACCATGGAGCTCCTGCTCCAGCCAGAGATGGGGCATTTCTGTGTGGGTGCAAGGGATGGACTCAGGTCCTTGGGCGTGCACAGTAGGTGTTGTCGCTGCTGAACTGCCACCCCTGTTCTTTACATACTATTTGTGTGTGTTGGCATACTTCTCTCGGCCACAGTGAGCTGCACTACCTCCCCCACAGTTCCTACCGAGGGTCTGCCTCTCCACCACCGTGTGTGTGTGTGTGTGTGTGTGTGTGTGTGTGTGTGTGTGTTTCCTTTTGATACAGAACTTGTGTCTATCCAACCTCATCAGACACTCCTCACCAAGCCCCTGAAACCCACCGTTACACACACACACACACACACACACACACACACACACACTCCTCTCTCTGGTTCTGATAACTGAAGGGATAAGAAGCTCCTAGGAGTGGGACCTGCAATACTGCAATAAGTGTCTCTGTATGTGGCTCGCATCACCATCCCAGAATTCAGGAGCACCAAGGCACATAGGAGGGTCCCATCTGGAACCAGGACTGTCCAGCTGCTGACCCAGCCTGGCCCTGCCTTCCAGATGTCAGTCTCTAAACGAGCTCGGAAAGCCTCCAGTGACCTGGATCAGGCCAGCGTGTCCCCATCGGAAGAGGATTCTGAGAGCCCATCTGAGTCAGAGAAGACCAGCGACCAGGTGAGTGGACAATAGCCCCTAGGACAGCCTGGCATGCCAACCAGTACCCCTGATGTTTCTGTCTCTTCACCCAGGACTTTACCCCAGAGAAGAAGACAGTGGCCCGGGCACCACGGCGGGGTCCTCCAGGAGGACGCAAGAAGAAGGTAAGGGTGCTGTGCCTAGGTCCTAAGAAGTTACTAGCAGCCTGAGGGGCCATCTATGGCAGTGGCACCTGGAACCCAGGTATGCAGTGATGCCCTTGGGGCTTGCAGGTCATTGCTGCCCCCCAGGGGGTCCTACTACCAGGATTGAAAAATCAGGTCCTGTATGCCAGAATGTTGTGGCATCAAAGTTCACGTGTGCTATGTGCATGTGGGGGTGTGAGGACTTGGGTTCACAAGGTTGCTCATGCATGTACAGGTGTGTTCATGTGTCTGTGGCCATGTGTGTGATGTGGACGTTGCATGTTGTACTGTGGCATGCATGCTGTGGAAGGACAGCTGGACAGTAGGAGGCAGGGCTGGCCTATGCAGGTTTTCGGTGCACACCTGCAGTTGAAAGCCCCTGGGCTTGGCCCTGATCCTGTTCCCAGGAGCTATCCAGGGTGTCCAGGACCCATGTTCCTTCTGTGGGTGAGGTACAGACTGTGTCCCTTGAGGACTGGAGCTGCCTCTGCCCCCTTACTCTCACCCTATGCGATTCCCCTCTGGCTCTGCCTGTCCCCAGAAGGTGCCTTCAGCCTCGGATTCAGACTCCAAAGCCGACTCAGATGGGACCAAGGAGGAGCCTGTGGCTGCAGCACGGCCATCCCCATCCTCCTCCTCATCCTCTTCATCTTCCTCCTCCGACTCAGATGTATCTGTCAAAAAACCCTCTCGAGGCAGAAAGTCAGGTAAGGCCTGAGCCAGCCTCGATGCAGCCCTGTGAGGCCATGGAGAGAAAGTCACCCCTCATTTTTCGTAGCCGAGAAGCCACCCCCCAAGCCTCGAGGGCGGAGACCAAAGCCAGAACGGCCACCTTCCACGTCCAGCAGTGACAGGTGGGTATCTGCTGGCGATGTGGGGGCTACAGGGTATGCTGGGGTTCCTGCTGATGGACTTTCCATCCTAGTGACAGTGACAGTGGTGAGGTGGACCGCATCAGTGAGTGGAAGCGGCGAGATGAGGAACGGAGGCGCGAACTGGAGGCGAGGAGGCGACGGGAGCAGGAGGAGGAACTCCGGCGACTTCGCGAACAGGAAAGGGAGGAAAAGGAGCGTCGCAAGGAGCGGGCAGAGCGTGGAGGCAGCAGTGGGGAAGAGCTGGAGGATGACGAGCCTATGAAGAAACGCAGCCGCAAGGCCCGGGGTCGGGCCACACCATCCTCCTCTGACTCAGAACCCGATGGGGAGATTGGGAAAGAGGTATGTGGTGCCCCCTCTTGACGTGAGGCCCCAGGCACCGGCCTTGAACTCCACTCCTTTATTGAGCCCCTTTTGTGTATTGGGGCTCATCCTGGGTCTTGTAGATATGTCAGTAACACAGAGCCTGGGGCCCTACCCATGGAAGATAGAGATAGCCATTCGAGTATAAGGCTTGCCTGTCAAATGGAACATTGGATTCCATACATTTATATAAGACCCGGGAAGCCATAGCCCACATGTGCTGGGTGGGGGTGGGACAGGCTGCTTCTGAAGCAGGAACCCTGTTTTCTGGTTGCTGTAGGGGAAGAAGTTGGCCAAGAAGTCCCAACTGCCAAGCTCGGAATCTGCAAGGAAGTCTGGGCAGAAGGAGAAGAGAGGGCGGCCAGATGAGAAGCCACGAGCCAGGTTAGCACCTGTCCTGAGCCCTGGACTTAGTCCCTCTCTCCTCAGCCTGGCTGTTGAGTTCAACCTTGAAGCCGCATTCATCCGAGGGTCCCAGCTCTTGGGTTCACGTCTCCCCTGGGGCCATGTGTGGCTGTCTGACAGGACCTATAGAGGGTCGAGGCCAGCAGCATTGCCCAGCACCCTGCAGGGCCCAGAACCTAAAGAGCCATCCAACCAGTGTCCACAGCACCCAGGGGACACCATGCCCAGCACAGTGGCTTTAACTCTGAGAGGTGCAGTTCCTCTCAGTTTTCTAAGTGTCTCAACTATTGCTGATCAGAGCTGCCCATGGGGATCAGCAGTGTGGCTTGGTGGCCACACAGCACAAGATGTGATATGCTCACTGGGCTTCTCATGGTTAGCCTGGTTCACAGAAGCAGAGAAGGGTCCCAGGCCCCTGGCCTCGCTGTCTGTCCTCACCTTGGGCCTCCCGAGGTGGCCTATCTGACGGGAGCCTCTCCATAGGCCTGTGAAGGTGGAGCGGACGCGGAAGCGGTCAGAGGGCCTCTCACTGGACAGGAAGGGGGAAAAGAAGAAAGGTGAGCACTAGTGTGGTGCAGGATTCCATGGCTCTAGTGTGGGCCTGTGGTGGTGGGAGGTGCTGGGCCACCTTGTAGCCAGGGCCAGAGCACCCTGTGCAAGCCAGCATCTCTCTTGCCCAGAACCTTCCGTAGAGGAGAGACTGCAGAAGCTGCACAGCGAGATCAAATTTGCACTGAAGGTCGACAACCCAGTAAGATGCCTGCTGCGCAGCCACAGAGTCACAGCCCCACGCTGTCCTGAGATGGGTGCTTTCCTTAGCCACCTCCTTTCAGGCTTCTTGAAAGTCTTGGGAAACTGAGGCAGGGTCCCCCAGATGGGGGAGTGGTTCATAGTGGCCCAGGAGACCCCACCCCCACTCCCATACCCTGCAATCTCCCCTGAGGACAGCAGGCAGCACCCTAGGAGACAGCCAGAGATGCCTCCCCACTCTTCCTGCTCTGCAGGATGTGAGGAGGTGTCTGAGTGCACTGGAAGAGCTGGGGACCCTGCAGGTGACCTCTCAGATCCTTCAGAAGAACACAGATGTGGTAGCCACACTGAAGAAGGTATGGCATGAGGCACCAGGACAGAGTACCTGGAAGGTTGTATTGGTGTCCAGTGGGAGGACTTAGGGGCACAGCCAGCAGCCCAGCTAAGACTGACCTCCTGGTGGCCAGATTCGCCGGTACAAAGCCAACAAGGATGTGATGGCGAAGGCAGCAGAGGTCTACACCCGGCTCAAGTCTCGGGTCCTGGGGCCAAAGGTTGAGGCTCTCCAGAAGGTGAACAAGGCTGGAGCCGAGAAGGAACGGGCTGACGGCGAGAAGGTGGAGGAGCAGCCTGGGGAGCAGGCTCCCAGAGAGCTGGTGGAGGATGAGCCCAATGCCGGTGAGGGCTGCCTGCACCTGGCCAGAGGGATAGGCAGGAACTGTGCCATGTTCGCCCCCCAGTAAGCTTACTAGACCCAACCATATTCTGCGATAGTTGGCATAAGGTTTGCCAGCTCTACTGGGTGCCAACAGTTGGATGTTGGCAGTGCTCTTTAGGCCACACACCTACATCACCTACATGTACCTGCACTGCTTGTAAGCCTGACTGCAACTGGGTAAGGAGGGTCCTCGTGAGAGGCAAGCAATGTGTTCATGACAACCCTGTTACCCTAGATCTCTCAGCGCCTGTGAACGGGGAGGCCACATCCCAGAAAGAGGAAAGCACAGAAGACAGAGCACAGGAAGACGGGCAGGACTCAGAGGATGGCCCGCGGGGCGGCTCCTCAGAAGAGCTGCATGAGTGAGTGTCCCTGGGGCATCAGGCACATTCCCTCTCACCACCCCTGCCATATGCTGGGCTGGCCAACACACTGATTGTGGTCCACATCACGCGACCCCAGGCTTCCAGCTACTGGTGCTGTGGGAAGGGCTTCCTGATGACTGTCCAGGGGTGGCACAGGTAGCCACCATGAGCACCAGCCACTGAACTGAGCTACAGTTGGCCACACCAGGCACTTGTGCCAACAGCAAGGGCATTACCCTTCTTTGGCTGCCCACTCATCCAATGGCTCTGTGGTAACACCAGGTAACTGCATCCTGATCAACCTTTACTGTGCCCCCAGCAGCCCACGGGAGAGCTCTGACCCCGTCAGGCCTGGAAGTGAGCATCAGGAGCATGAGAGGGTGCAGCTGGCCTCCGAGTCTGCCGATGATGATGACGACAGCTGAGCTCCAGCTGCCGTGGCCATGGTGTCATGTCCGTCCCCAGCCTCCCAGGGAAGTGCTGCGCTGTTTGTATTTGTGGCCTGGGCCTTTCTGCCTAGTTCTGTGATTTCGATTGACATGAAATGGTTATAAAGGGTTTTGTAATGAAAAAGAAACAGTTTTTATTGGCTTGGTGTCCTGATATGAAATGTAGCTGGGCTAAGGCCAGAGCACTATGCCTGACACAGGGCTGAGGTACCAGCCACCGTGAGCAGCATGGGAAGCCAGGCCTGGTACAGGGCAGGGTTCACACTTACAGGGCAGCAGAGCTCTTCCTACATTGAGTAGCCTGTTCCACCATCATGAGAGTAACAGACACTAAGGACAGGCCAACAGGAGACTGTGGCCCTGACTCAACCACCATTCCATTCCCCAGCTATGCAGGGACCCCAGCATAGTGCCTCTGGGGCAGCTCAGCATTTGGGCTGGAGTGTTGGAGTCCACACCATCCCAACCTGCTCTCGCTATGTGGTTTTTCTGCTCTGCTTGTGTTCCCTGTGGGCTCAGGTAGGGTACATGCCTGTCTGTGTATCCACCTGCCTCCATGGCCACCATGGAGCATGATGTAGTGAGGCTCATCTAGAGGCATAGCTGCAGGCCCTGGGCCCAGTCTAGTGTTGCATCCTGATGCTGAGAGAAAAAGGGAAAGGCTCAGGAAGGCTCCTGTCTTCTCTGTCACGGCCTCTCCGCCATGTCCTCTCCGAGGCCACAGCTAGCCCAACCTTAGAACTCAAGGACATTGTTACTTTCTAAGAGTGCACAAAAAAGGGAACTGGAAGATTGGGAGTTGCTAGCACTGCTGGGGTTCAGGTAGAGCTGGACTGTGGTCTTGGATGGCCGGTCCATAGGGGATTGCCGTGTACCCCATCATCTTCTGTGCTTTTGTCTTGGGTGCATAGGACGAGGGAGAAGGGCCATCACCTGCCGTGTCTCCAGTCAGTACTTCAACCCTAGGCAGGCATAACCTCATGCAGACCACAGTTTCAGCAGTGACGGCCCTGTCAAGTGGTCCCTGTCTCTGTGCAGTGATACATGTGTGACCCTCCTTTCCCAATAGAGCCGGTCAGACTCAGGCCCACAGCATGCTGGGAAATAAGTGTGGCTTTGAGTGGCTCTACACCCCACTATGTATCAGAAGGGGCTGTGGGAGCTTGCCTTAGGGTGGCTGTGCATTCTAGTACATTCTAGTGCTGGGGAACAAGTTGCCTAATATGTTAGCTAAGACCTCTGGATACACTGCTCAAGGTGGGACCTGGGGTTGAGTGGCACCACCCATAGCAGAGAGCTGTGGGCCCCTGAAGGTAGGGTCAGAGCCCAGAGGCTGGAAGGCTTGTCAGTGAGGATAGCTGAAGGACCTCCTAGGTTTGACTCTGCTTCCGCTTTGCTCTATCATCGGGACCTGTGTGCTGCTCTCTGAACAGACTTGGTGGCTAGTTTGGAAGAGGGGCTATCAGTTACTGGAAATAGCAAGAGCCATGACTGGTTTCAAATTGACTTTCCGAGGACCCTCTGCTCTTCCTTAATCCAGAACTTTGGGGTTGTGAAGCTTTCAGGTATCTATAGCTGGTCACCAGGCATCAAAGCAAATGGTCCTACCAGCCAGCTGAGTGGGGGGCTCTGCTGCAGCCTGTCCAGCAGCACCTCCAGACCCTGCCATGCCTGTACCACACCAGCACTGCTCTGGGCCAGCTGCTCTGCCTGCAGATCGCCACTGCTCTCAGAGGACACAAGACCATACAGTTTGCAGAGGCTGTGCCGTGCCAGCCCTGCCTGCTGCTGCACCTCTGGCAGGCCCTGCAGACTGGCTGCCAGGCCGCTGTAAGCTGCATGGAGCTGGCAGATTAGCGTACATAGCCTGTCCTGAGCCCTGGAAGCACACACCTGCAGAGGAAGAACAAGGTAAGCAGGAGTGGGACATGTGCTGGGTGCTGGGGAGGGGCCCATGCGACACACACCTCATGGGTACCAGCAGCCTCCGCCGTGGAGCCCAAGCTCTGGTTCCCGCACAGCTGCCCACCTGGAGCCTCCATGGTCATGTGTGTCTGGAAAGAGAGCCACAGGAGAGGTGGTGGCTCTAGTGGAGGTAGAAACACTCAGTGCTGTCCCTAGATCTTGAATCTAACCCTCTTCATGGTGCAGCCAAAACACAAATTCCACCCGAGGGCATCTGGAAGGCCAGGTGCTGGTCCCTCTGTGTCCACTCATCTCCTACCCCACTGTTCCCTTTGCATGTCCACACAGATTCCCTCTGTCCCCCAGGATCTACCTCCCGTGTATACCTCACCACGTCTCATCTGTTCCTCCCATGTTTCTAGTGTCCACTTAGGAGACGGGGGCGGGGGGGTGGGGGCAGATGACAGGAATGCCACCCAGCCCCCAGAATACCAGCCCTGTGTGTCCATAATGCCCAGCAGAAGCCTGGAGACAGGACTAGGGATGAAGAACCCTTGCTAGGGCCCTGTCACCCTCACTACCCTCTCACTGTCTTGGGTTCACAGCCTCACACCCAGCTCCCTAGATAAGGCTAGTACATGCCGCAGCTCCCTCTGTATGCAGGTGGCTTGACCCGTGATCAGTTGGAGGTACACAGGGTAGGAACCGGAGATGCTCTTACCACCTGGAAGGCCTTCTGGAGTTGGGCCAGTGTAGCTCTGGCTTGGAACTGCTTGTGCTGTATATGGCTCAGGGCATGTTCAAAAGCCCGCTGGCGGAAGCTGGGGGCCAGGTCACCTAGGCGGACAAAGTAGCTTCCCTGGTCAGCAGAGAACACCCGAGGCCCTGACTCTGAGGCCACCAGCTGGGCTGGAAGGAAGGCAGTGAGACTTAGTCTGAGAGGTCTAGGAGCTAGGGCTGGGGACCTGCGATGGTGACGGACAGGCACTCACCTTGTTCCTCAGCTGTCATGGGCTGGAAGATGTCCCCGAGCCCTTCCAACTCATCATGAAGTGCAGCAAAGCTTGTCACAGCCAGCTGACCATACTCCTCCTCAGACTTGGTAGCTGCACGGACAGATGAAGCCACACTAGACACAAGGCCTTTGGTGGCAGCTATGGGTTCTGTGACAAGCTCCAAGCCACAGGTGTCTGCAAGGCTGCTGATCTCAGAGCACAAGGATTCTGCAGAAGTCAGGGTAACATGTTCCACCCCGTGGGTGGTGGCGTGAGAGCCAGAGAATGAATGTGGGACTGTGTTGACACTTGTGTGGGTGGCGTTGATAGCCACATTATCTGCCTGAGACTGCATGGCAGACCATGTGTCCTTGGGAGTGTGCAAGCCCTTCTGAAAGACACCTTTGGCCATGTTCATGGCCCCAGTGATCCCAGCACAGACAGTATCCTTTGTACCTGTGAGCATGCTCTTGCTCGTGTCCAGGCCTGTCTTCATTGTCTCAGTGGCCATATTCATGGTACCTGAGAGGCCAGCCAACATTGTAGTCTTGGTACCTGTAAGGACTGCTTTAGAAGTGTCTAGGCCCCCCTGGGCAGCCCCTTTGGCCACATTAATGGCACCTGTGACCCCAGCACAAACGGTGTCCTTTGTGCCCGTCAGCATACTCTTGCTGGAATCCAGCCCTGTCTGTACTGTCCCTTTGGCCACGTTCATAGCTCCAGTGAGTCCTGTGGTCACCGTGTCCTTGGTGCCCATGACCACGGACTTGGTGGTGTCCAGGCCTCCCTGGGCAGCCACTTTGGCCACGTTCACGGCCCCTGTGAGTCCTGTGGTCACCGTGTCCTTGGTGCCCATGACCACGGATTTGGTGGTGTCTAGACCAGTCTGCACTGTCCCTTTGGCCACGTTCACGGCCCCTGTGAGTCCTGTGGTCACCGTGTCCTTGGTGCCCATGACCACAGACTTGGCTGTGTCCAGACCTCCCTGGGCAGCCCCTTTGGCAACATTAATGGCACCTGTGAGTCCTGTGGTCACCGTGTCCTTGGTTCCCGTCAGCACTTTCTTGCTGGTGTCCAGCCCAGTCTGTACTGTCCCTTTGGCCACGTTCACGGCCCCTGTTAGTCCTGTGGTCACCGTGTCCTTGGTGCCCATGACCATGGATTTGGTGGTGTCTAGACCAGTCTGCACTGTCCCTTTGGCCACGTTCACAGCCCCTGTGAATCCTGTGGTCACCGTGTCCTTGGTGCCCATGACCACAGATTTGGTGGTGTCCAGACCAGTCTGCACTGTCCCTTTGGCCATGTTCACGGCCCCTGTAAGTCCTGTGGTCACCGTGTCCTTGGTGCTCATGACCACAGACTTGGTGGTGTCCAAGCCTCCCTGGGCAGCCACTTTGGCCACGTTCACGGCCCCTGTGAGTCCTGTGGTCACCGTGTCCTTGGTGCCCATGACCACGGACTTGGTGGTGTCTAGACCAGTCTGCACTGTCCCTTTGGCCACGTTCACGGCCCCTGTAAGTCCTGTGGTCACCGTGTCCTTGGTGCTCATGACCACAGACTTGGTGGTGTCCAAGCCTCCCTGGGCAGCCACTTTGGCCACGTTCACGGCCCCTGTGAGTCCTGTGGTCACCGTGTCCTTGGTGCCCATGACCACGGACTTGGTGGTGTCTAGACCAGTCTGCACTGTCCCTTTGGCCACGTTCACGGCCCCTGTAAGTCCTGTGGTCACCGTGTCCTTGGTGCTCATGACCACAGACTTGGTGGTGTCCAAGCCTCCCTGGGCAGCCACTTTGGCCACGTTCACGGCCCCTGTGAGTCCTGTGGTCACCGTGTCCTTGGTGCCCATGACCACAGACTTGGCTGTGTCCAGACCTCCCTGGGCAGCCCCTTTGGCAACATTAATGGCACCTGTGAGTCCTGTGGTCACCGTGTCCTTGGTTCCCGTCAGCACTTTCTTGCTGGTGTCCAGCCCAGTCTGTACTGTCCCTTTGGCCACGTTCACGGCCCCTGTGAGTCCTGTGGTCACCGTGTCCTTGGTGCCCATGACCATGGATTTGGTGGTGTCTAGACCAGTCTGCACTGTCCCTTTGGCCACGTTCACAGCCCCTGTGAATCCTGTGGTCACCGTGTCCTTGGTGCCCATGACCACAGATTTGGTGGTGTCCAGACCAGTCTGCACTGTCCCTTTGGCCATGTTCACGGCCCCTGTAAGTCCTGTGGTCACCGTGTCCTTGGTGCTCATGACCACAGACTTGGTGGTGTCCAAGCCTCCCTGGGCAGCCACTTTGGCCACGTTCACGGCCCCTGTGAGTCCTGTGGTCACCGTGTCCTTGGTGCCCATGACCACGGACTTGGTGGTGTCCAGACCAGTCTGCACTGTCCCTTTGGCCACGTTCACGGCCCCTGTGAGTCCTGTGGTCACCGTGTCCTTGGTGCCCATGACCACGGACTTGGTGGTGTCTAGACCAGTCTGCACTGTCCCTTTGGCCACGTTCACGGCCCCTGTAAGTCCTGTGGTCACCGTGTCCTTGGTGCTCATGACCACAGACTTGGTGGTGTCCAAGCCTCCCTGGGCAGCCACTTTGGCCATGTTCACGGCCCCTGTGAGTCCTGTGGTCACCGTGTCCTTGGTGCCCATGACCACAGACTTGGCTGTGTCCAGACCTCCCTGGGCAGCCCCTTTGGCAACATTAATGGCACCTGTGAGTCCTGTGGTCACCGTGTCCTTGGTTCCCGTCAGCACTTTCTTGCTGGTGTCCAGCCCTGTCTGTACTGTCCCTTTGGCCACGTTCACGGCCCCTGTGAGTCCTGTGGTCACCGTGTCCTTGGTGCCCATGACCATGGATTTGGTGGTGTCCAGGCCTCCCTGGGCAGCTTCTTTGGCCATGTTGACAGCCCCTGTGAGTCCTGTGGTCACCGTGTCCTTGGTGCCCATGACCACAGATTTGGTGGTGTCCAGACCAGTCTGCACTGTCCCTTTGGCCACGTTCACGGCCCCTGCAAGTCCTGTGGTCACCGTGTCCTTGGTGCTCATGACCACAGACTTGGTGGTGTCCAAGCCTCCCTGGGCAGCCACTTTGGCCACGTTCACGGCCCCTGTGAGTCCTGTGGTCACCGTGTCCTTGGTGCCCATGACCACGGACTTGGTGGTGTCCAGACCAGTCTGCACTGTCCCTTTGGCCACGTTCACGGCCCCTGTGAGTCCTGTGGTCACCGTGTCCTTGGTGCCCATGACCACAGACTTGGCTGTGTCCAGACCTCCCTGGGCAGCCCCTTGGGCAACATTAATGGCACCTGTGAGTCCTGTGGTCACCGTGTCCTTGGTTCCCGTCAGCACTTTCTTGCTGGTGTCCAGCCCAGTCTGCACTGTCCCTTTGGCCACGTTCATGGCCCCTGTGAGTCCTGTGGTCACCGTGTCCTTGGTGCCCATGACCACAGACTTGGTGGTGTCCAAACCAGTCTGCACTGTCCCTTTGGCCACGTTCACTGCCCCTGTGAGTCCTGTGGTCACCGTGTCCTTGGTGCCCATGACCACAGACTTGGCTGTGTCCAGACCTCCCTGGGCAGCCCCTTTGGCAACATTAATGGCACCTGTGAGTCCTGTGGTCACCGTGTCCTTGGTTCCCGTCAGCACTTTCTTGCTGGTGTCCAGACCCGTCTGTACTGTCCCTTTGGCCATGTTTGCAGTCCCTGTGAGTCCTGTGGTCACTGTGTCTCTGGTGGTGCTAAGGACAGTCTTTGAGGTGTCCAGACCTCCCTGGACAAGACCTTTGGCCATCCCTACTGCTTCTGTCACGCCTCCGGACACTGCCTCCTTAGTGCCCACAAGGGTTGACTGGGTGGCGCCCAGGCCACCCTGGACCATTCCTTTCGCCATGTCTATGATGCCGGCCACCCCAGAGGAGAAGGCGTCTTTTCCAGCAGTCACACTGGAGCTTCCCACATCCTTGTTCCCAGCCGTGGTCTAATGAAAAAGGACACAGGTCAACACTTCACAAAAGAACCTTTAGGGTGACTGCTGTCCACACCCTCTGTGCAGGTTTCTGGGTCTTCCCACCTACCTTAGCCAAACATCCCACTGTCATCCAGCTGCAAAGTAATGTCTGGGGACTTGCTATAAAGATACTTTTCAGTTGGAGAAGCTGAGGCCAGAGGACTCAAGTCAAGGGCTGCCTGGCTACACTATGAGACCTTGTCTCAACTAAAATGCAAGTTGGCAGAGACCCTATCAGTGTCCTCTGGGCACCATCTCCATGGCCCCACGGCTGTTGTCACTTTGCTGCTGTTTGATACCAGTCTCATGTAAACCCAAAATTAGCTATGTAGGAGGACTTGCTGGTATGTGTGTTAGCAATACGCTGCCTGAGCAGCCTAGGGGACTCTGAGCACACCTGGAGACACTGTAGCTGTCCCAACAGGAGAGGGTGGAGGCCCAGCCCAGCATGCAACCCACAGTATGGCCCAGTTAGCTCAGTGCTCACCTAGCATTCTGTAGTGGCTTGAGTCCCCAGCGCTTCCTGCGCTTGTGTGATGGAAGGCACCAATGGTGTCTTACCTCCCCACTAGCCTGCTGTCCCCTAGAAAATACACTGCTGCCTGCTGGGGCTGACGCGGCAGCTCATGGTGGAGGACACAGCCTTCAATCCAACCTTTGGAAGGCTGAGGGAGGGAGGTCGGATGCTCAAGGTCAGCCTCAGCTGTAGAATGAGGTAACAGGTAGCCTGGGCTACACGAGACCCTGTTTCAGATACAAAAATTCACCTCCTTCAAGGTCGGGTTAGTGGATGAAAGATTCAGAGGGACTGGCAGGAGGCCTTGGCTACCAGGGAACGTATTTTGATTGAATCTACAGGGTTCAGTCCCACCATTTCTGGCCCAGGTGGTGCTTTAAGGCAGTCACGGGAGTAGGGGTGGGGTTTCTCAGTACCTGCCATGTGGTTTTGTGGGGTACAGCCCCTGTCTCCTTGAGGGGGAAGGGAAGGCTAACATGTAAGTGCTAAGCATCGAGCCGCAGGACTGTTGAGATCATGTGCTCATTTTGCAGATGTAGAAACTGAGGTCCAGGGTAGAGAATGTGCTAGGGGTGCCACCTTCTCTTTGTCCTTTGAATCCCGATTCCACGGAAGGAGCTAGAGCCCTCTAGACCTTCCTGTCCAAGGCCTACCGATCCTGCTCACCTGTTGAGACTGGAGCAGCCCCTCCGCACCCCTTGCCGTCTGCTGCAGGTCGGTGGCCACTGCAGAAATAGAACCAGTTCGGGAGTGAGGGGCGGGCCTCCAGCTGGAGCTTGTTGCTGTTGTGCAATTCCAGGCATGTCCCCAAAGGACAGGAATGTCCCAGCCTCAGGCCAGGGACAGCAGGAGGTGGCATCCACAGGCAGGAGCCAGGCCTAGCCTCCTTCCCCCTCCCTGCCAAAGATGGTTCTGGCCGCTGTGACACAGAGCTGTGGGAGGACTTTCTGTGCTGGACACCCACCCTGCAGCCTTGGGGCCCATGGAGCCTGCAGTTGGTGAGTGGTGCCTTCCTGTCTGCACCATGGCCCCCAGCAGCCTGACACAGCTGTGTGGCCTTCAAGGCAGCTAGTGTCCTAGGATTCTGTGTGACCCCAGGGCAGCTGCTGGCTCTCTCTGAGACTTTATCGTTACACTTAGACAAGCACAACACTCAGCCAGGTGTCTGGTGCAAAGAGCAGAGGGGCTGAGGCGTATGTTGCCCAGTATCTGTGCCTCAGTTTCCTCATCGAATGAGATAATGCAGACACAAGGTCAGCAGGATTGCCGCAGGTCCCTCCTGGGCAGTCTGCATGGCTGCTCCATTCCCACCACCTCCCTTGTGCCCCTCACCTGGCGACGGGGGGACAGGAGTCCCCGTAGGGTCTGGGACTGGTCCCACATCCTTTGTGGGGCTGTGACGGTGGGACACCAGGTTCCGGGCAGAGCTGAAGCCAGGCAGAGACCCGAAGAAACTGCTCAGGGTCTGTTTGGGGTGGGTGGAGGCAACGTGAGTGGACACTGGGGTCACTTTCCCTGGGTCCCTGGTGGGGCCCCCTCTCTGTTCTCTTACCTTGCCTTTGGATTTGGGGGGACCCCTAGTCCCATCTCCTGAAGCTGACATGATGGTGACCTGTGGGGCTAGAAGTGGGCAGACAGTGTTACATGGTGGGGATCCCTCCTGAACTGTTCCCACTCTGGGCCCCATAAGCACCCCCCTTCACCCACCTGGAGGCAGCAGTCGCTGAGTGACACAGCTGGACTCACCTGGACCGTGCAAGGTCCCTCAGAGCAGGGCCGCTGCTGGCAGTGCCTCAGCTCCTGGTTCCCAGGCCTTATAGGGTCTGGGAGGGTGCAGGCTTTGCCGGCCCAGGCAGGCAGCCAGAGAACTGGGCGGGGGGAGGGGGGGGCAGTCACGTGCCTGCTCTCCTGGGCCAATATGGACCCGGCCCAGCACCTTTTCCCTGCTCAGCCCAAGTCACCTCTGCCCACGGTGCCCGCCTGTAGGCCCAGTGACTAACAGCCCAGCTGGGCTCCCTGAGGGACCGCATGCACTCTGCCTCTACTTTTCTGAGATGGAACGCCTGATCAGGCACCACCTTTGGGGCTGAGTTCCCCCTTCCAGAGTCATCACTGGACTTCCTTGCCTCTGTCCTCACACTGTGCTCCTGGATCCACCTTTAACACAGAAGGACCCTTTCTTGCCCCAAGGCCTTTGCACAGGCCATGCCCCTGCCTGCTACACCTCCCTCCAGATTCCCACACAGCCTAACCTGCCATCCTGTTTATCTCCTGCACCCAGGACAGTGCCTGGCACACATCAGACACTTAAGAAACATTTGTCTATAAATGGGGGCTATTAAAGGTGCATACACGTTTAAAATGAGGTAATACATGATTAGTAGTCAACAAACACTACCTTACATTACCAGGCAGAAACAGGGTCTCCAAGGGAAGAGTGTCCTAAGGAGGGCAGTGACATGTCCCCCTACTGAAGGGACATGGCTAAAATGTAGAGCAGGAGGCACCCTGGGGGTGAGAACCCAACTTTGTGTCTGCCAAGCAGGCAGAGTGACCACCACTCCCACCCTGGGCCCTGGCCAGGACTTGTACCCTAGGAACAAGGATCCCGACCTCAGCAATGAGGCGATTAACTCTGGCACTGAGTGCAGGGAAGGGTTCCAGGCGGGGTGGGATGAGGGGCTGGCACCCCAGGGTCATTTCCTTGGAGCCTTGGTTGTGTTGGGCGACAGTTCTGGAATAGAAGTGGGTGCCCCCAGCTATTGCTCCTGAGGGCATGGGTGGGGGCATTGCAGCCAGCTCCCTCTTGGGTCTCCAGCTAGCGCCTGCCCCTCCCCCAATCCACAAGGCTCCCTGGAGAAGGCGGCCTTGGGCACGGGGGGGGGGGGGGGTCCTTGTTCCTTTTGGACAAGATGGGCACTGGTAGGTAGGCAGAGAGGGGGTGCTGTTCCGAGAGCACTAGGGAGCTCTGGGGTTTCTGCAAGTGAAGTCCAGAAACACAATCCAGACTGGGTTTCAGGGAGGCCAGGGGCTGCCCTGACCCGGGAGCGAGAGGGGCAGGCAAGAATGCGGTGAGAAGCCAGGAGGGCCCTGTGGGACCATCTCAGCCTCTGCCTTGCTTCTGTTTCCCGCAACCCTACCCCAGTGTAGCCTGCCAGGTCCAAGGAGGAGGGGGAAGAGAGGCCATCTCCTCTCCTGCTACCGAGAAGGTCCAAAAACTGATTTATACTATAGTATGAGTGGCTTCCACTTACGTGTACTGAGGGGGTGACAGTTAACCTAATCTCCTCCATGCAGCTCCCTAAGAAATGCATTGACTCTGAACACTGGCTGGAAATTCCCCCGAAAAGTCACACCTTGAAAAACCCCAGCACCTGAGTTACAAGACCCACCTCAGACCACACCAAACATGTTTATTCCGGACCATGAACAGCAAAGCAAGTGCGTCTCTGGCCCGGGAGGCCTGGATGGACATCTTGACACATCCTCCCCCCACCCCCAACAAACACACACTGATGTCCCAGGACACCACGTGTTCCTCAGAGGCCAGGGCTGCATTTTTCTAACAGTCTTGCTAAGGAGACAGCTCAAGCTTGCCTCAAATCTCAATCCTTTTGTCTTAGCTTCTCTAGTGCTGGCGTGATAGCTGTGTGCCAACTTTGAAGGCGGGGACAGGATCACAAGAGAGGGAGAGTGGTCTCCGTCGAGTCCACTGCCCGTCAGGGTAAATGCGGTCACGTAACCACCAGGGGGCAGCAGGGGCCTCGTTGGTCAGAAGTCCAGCTCCGGCATCAGTCTGTGCCTGGGCGGGCCACTCGGGGGTTCGGCCTGTTCCCGCGAGTCTGCGTGCTCGGCCTCCCAGGCCCTCTGCTGGGCCGGCCAGTCCATGTGCGCCCAGCGCGGGTCGGGGCCGCCCACCACCTCGTCCACGCAGGCGGCCAGGTCGGCCAGGGGCTCGGGCCGCTCCACCAAGACCGGTGCAAAGGGTCCCACAAGCCAGGGCAGGGGCACGGCTCGCAGGACCAAGTCCAGCAGCTCGTCCACGCAGGCGTGCGCCCGTGCCACGCGGCCCCGACCCTCGGCTAGAGCGGCGGGCGCCACGTCCCGCAAGCAGCGCGCATCGGCAAAGGCGGCCTGCAGGGCATCCACGCTTCGCTGCACCTCGGCCACCTTGGCCCGGGCACCAGGTGGCAGGCCCCGCACGCAACCCGCCAGCGCGTCCACTGCGCTCTGAAGCTCCAGGGTCAGGCTGCGAGACAGGGCTAGCGTCTCCAGCTCCACCTGCAAGGGCCCCGCCTTAGTTTTCGCATTCATCTAATGCAAGGTTCTCAGCCCGTAGGTCGCAATCCCATGACTGTTGAAGGACCCTTTCACAGGGGTCCTGTATCAGATATTTACATTGCGATTATTAAGAGTAGCAAAATTACAGCTATGATGTAGCAGTGAAATAGTTTTAGGGTGGGGGTCACCACAACATGTATCAAACAGTCGCTGCATTAGGAAGGCTGAGAACCAGACTTAATTGAAGCTTCGACCTGCTTCAGCTTCCCCATGAGATCTAATGTGAGGGCCTTGCTTGCCTCAGTTTCCCCTATGAACAACAATGGAGGCTGCAGCTCTACCGTACTTTACCTCATTGGATACAAGAGTATGTGTTTTACCTCCTCATGGACACCCAACCAGAGAGCACTTGAGGTGGGGTCTCTGTCTAGTACCTTCCCGTGGCCCCTCACCTGGCTGTATCTGCGCCCATTCTCCGGCCATGGAGTCCAGTCCCCCGACAGCTCCTGCACCTTTGGGGGATGGGGAGTGGGGATGGGGCTTGCCCCGCTCTGCATATGGTGGATCTGTGGGACAGGGACACCGGGCGTCAGAGTCAGGCTGGAGGTCTGGGGCGAGTAGGCGCACCCTAACCTGCAGCAGCCCTTAGTGGGCACTGTCCGAACACAGCGAGCCTTGCATTCTGTTGGCCAGCAGGTCCCTCCCCCCTCTGCTCCTCTTGTCTGCCCAGTGTCACAGCCCGGTCCACAGCGGTCCCTTCCTCTCCTGCCGAAGGTGAATGGACACGCGGTGTGGGATATCAGTATTCAGTATGCAGCCAGGAAGAGAGGAGCAGATAACTGCTCTACTGTGGGTGGTCCTTGAGATGGGGCTCAGTGCGGACACACAGCACATATCCCTTCCGAGGATGCTCCAGTCTCACACCCACAGAGACAGGAAGTAGGAGGGTGGGAAGGGGGTGATGGGAGGACATGGAGTCAATATTAACAGGGCCAGAGCTTCACTGCGGGAACTGCTGCAGGACTGCCTGAGTGCTGGAATGACAAGGCCTGAGCCACCACACCCCGGTGATACCATACAGCGGGGGTTTGAAAGCGGGGTGATAATGCAAGATCCTGTGGCCCCACATGGCTGGTGAAACACGCAACTGTGGCCAGGTACACAGTGAGCTTTCTCAATAAGCATTTAGTAACGTGATGATGTCCAAACCGCCCCACCCGCCCCTGTGGGCATGGCTCAGTGCTGAGCACCCTCCCTCCCAGCCTGTGTGAAGTACCCGTCCCATCCCAGCACTGGCAATGGGGAGAATCTGGAGCACAGGAAGTAAGGACCACATGGATATGTGTGTTGTGGAATACTATTCAGGCAGGAAGAGGAGGGAGACTAACATCTGCTCCTACATTAATGCAAAAGCACAAACTTTGGGGTTGCATTCCCAGGAGGTCAAGGGCCCTGGGGCAGGGTGGAGCCTACTGTGAAGCTGTAGGAGGCAGAGTGGGGAAGGGGGTGGCAGGAACAGGAGGACAAAGACTGTGCTCACAGGTGCCCTCTGGTGTGTCCTCTATGAGGAGCACGCGTGTGTGTGCGTGCGTGCGTGCGTGTGTGTGTGTGTGTGTGTGTGTGTGTGTGTAAAGAAGCGTGTGAGTGAACTGGGCAAGAGTTTTGGGAGCAGAGGCCCTATAAGCCTTGAGGGGTACAGGAGGGGGTTGGGGCAGAAAATGCAGGAGACAGTTTGGGGTGAAGGCTGAGGTGTGATTTGGGACCTAGGGTCATGTGTCAGGATGGGGTCTCTTCCTGAGCCTAGTAGACTCAGATCCCTGGGAGCCCCCCCCCACACCCACCCCGCCAGCAGGAACCCTGCCCCACCTCAGTGGGAACTACCATCCCTGCTTGCTCACCAACTCCAGAGTCTCCTGCAGCTGGGCCAGCGTGTCCTGCGTGCGGTGTTTGCTCTGCTTCAGTTTCCCCAGAGAGTGTTCATAGGCCAGATGGCGGAGGCGCGCTGACAGGGATCCCAGTCGCACAAAGTAGCCCTGTTGTCGCCTCTGCTCCTCCAAAGAGCCCACTTCTGGGCCCTCGGCCTCGGCTGCCAGGGCCGCTGGGGATGGGGACACCGGGGACTCTGCTCACCCACTGTCCAGAGCGCCCAGGTCCCCAGCTGGACAGCGTCCCCGTGTCACCATTGCCCCTCTAACTACCCAAACCCTACAGAGTGAACATGTAGCCCAGGCTAGCTTTCAACTCACTATGTAGCCGAGGCTGACCTTGAGAGCTGGGGTGACAGGTGAGTGCTGCCACAGCGGTTCATGGGGTGCTGGGGATGGGAGCCGAGCTGGGCTTTGTGTCCCAGCCCTGGCACCTGCACTGTACATTCGAGGAAACTGAGGTAGGTCAGTGGGGTGGCTCAGTGATGGTGGAAGGACTCCTGGAGGTGTCCTCTGACCTCCTGTGCCTGCCGTGGCACACTTGCTTGCACACACGTGCACACACAGTTTTGTGTGTGTGTGTGTGTAT